TATGCAAAAACATAGTCAAGGTTTGCTTTTCCCACATGTGAACAATGGCAACAACCAACATTTGTGACCACTAACTGCGTGACTGCTCCTGAGTGCAGATGGTAAACATTAAAAGCAATGTAGCGTTCTCATAAATGAAACGAGTTGTTTTTCTCACAGCGGTTTTCTATTAAGCCTTCACATGTAAACCATTCAGTGTATGTAATTGGCAATTAAACAGGTTAACGTGATCCCAGTGCATGCGTGTGGTTGGATACAGCATGCATATGCTACAAGTGGCCATTTTTTTTTCATAGTAGCAATGCCACAGAGATGAGTATTACCACCATCATGTTTTTCCAGAAATCTTAAAGGAAAAGTTCACCCAACAAATTTAAATTCTGTCATTAATTACTCACCCTCGTGTCATTCCAAACCTGTAAGACCTTCATTCATCTTTACAACACAAATTAAGATATTTTTGATGAAATCCGAGAGCTTTTTGACCTTGCATAGACAGCACCACAACTGACACGTTCAAGGCCCAGAAAGGTAGTAAAGACATAAATAAAATAGTCCATGTGACATCAGTGGTTCATCCGTAATGTTATGAAGCTTTGAGAATACTTTTTGTGCACAAAGAAAACAAAAATAACCACTTTATTCTTACTCTTCGCTACGCGTTCACAAGAGTACCACGACGCATGCGTGTGGTGCTGCTGATGCAGAAGCCGGCATTCTGACATAGAATGATGTAGATGTTTCACAGTCAGCCAAGAAAGTCATTATTGAAAACATAAGTATCATACGTTACATGTGTTTAAGAAACACTTAAGGCTGCTTACCCACTTAAATCATGCGTTAAGGTTTATCCTGTGTCTGAGGAGGCAAACAGCAATGTCATGACTGAAAATCCTAGTTAAAGACAGACACAGTGACATAGTGCTGAAGCAACGAATCAAATCCCAGAGACTGGTTTTAATGGGACTGTGTCTTTTTGCGGGAGTGCAGCTGTCATTGAGCTTGATTGAATGTATTTATGTTAACTTTTGGAATGTGTGTTGGGACTCAAGCAGCATGCTTGAGGCAGAACACAGAGCAGTGCACTGGGGTTTAATGCCTCTCGATGACTCCTATTTACCAGCCACAAACTTGGAGTTTTGTTAAATAGTGAAACTCCTGTGATCTTGTAAAATATATATTGAAGGTGGGTGGCAATCACTGGCATTCTTGGGGTGCTTCAAAGTGTAAAATAACAACATACAGAGAACACACACAACTAAACCAAACAAAACACCATGACCCACTGGTGTTAGGATGGCAAGCCAAGACAGAAAGAATGTAAACACATTAGAATTTCAGAAAAAGCAGATGCAGGGAAAGGAGGCTGCTGTGTAGAATCTGCACCCATTTGATTAATGAGTTTGTGAAAGTACATTTTAAGGGATAGTAAAATGCCAAAAATAAAATGGTGTCATAATTTATTTACCTATGTTGTGCCATCCTTTGCACATTCTTTTGAGTTAGATGTTTGTTCATGAATTGGACTGATCGGATTCATGAGTTCACTCATTTGCAATCTCCAGTTCACAGCTGACAGGAAGGAAAGATTACATGGTGGTTTTCAGTCAAATTTCAGTTTGTTTGTCATATAAAACTATCAAATAAAATGTAATGGAATTTGAAAGATTTGAGTAAATAATAATAGATTTTAACATTTTGGTTTAACTTATTCTTTATAAGGATGGGGTGAAAATAACAGATAGTCTACCCCAAAATGAAAATCATTTACTCACCCTCATGTCATTTTGAACCTGTATATGTGACTCTGGACAGGGGCGTCATGCACTCATTATTTTTGAGGGGGCATCAAAGTAACCGAATAATGTAATCTATTAACTATGCATAAAAACCTCTCTGTTTACTTAATTAACAGATATGGATGTCATGCCATGACATATTTTTAATACGACATTGAATTTAACATTGAAAGTTAATAAATCACTGAAGCTGTTTACACTATGAAATTAATATCTTACAGATTCGTACACACATTTGCACTTTGTTGTTTCTGATGAGAGAATTCGCCAGAAAAAGGTATTCAGTCAGCGAGCGAGTGAAGAAAACGCCGGCATTTGAGCGATGACTCATCTGAACACCTCTGATTGGTCATTGCATTTATAAACTCAACAGCATAGTGTGTGATTGGTTAATGCGCAGTGCTGTAAAAACGCGTCTGTATCTGGCTCAGCGCCAGCCAGCGAACGCAGATTTGAATTTAACAGCTGATGATATGACGCACTGAACGTTATAATCAGGCCCGTGTGATTGTATTAAATATAGAAAATATTAATCAGCTATTTTCATTATCAATTTTTATTTTATGCCAAAAATCATTAGGATATTAAGTAAAGTTCATAAAGTTCAAAAGATATTTTGTAAATTTTCTACCGTAAATACATCAAAACTTAATTTTTGGTTAGTAATATGAATTGCTAAGAACTTCATTAGGACAACTTTTAAAGGCGATTTTCTTAATATTTAGATTTTTTTTTTGCACCCTCAGATATTCCAAATATTCAAATAGCTGTATCTCGGCCAAATATTTGAATATATTTATTCAGCTTTCAGACGATGTATAAATCTCAATTTCAAAAAATGGATCCTTATGACTGGTTTTGTGGTACAGGGTCAAATATTTCTTTCTTCTGTGGAAAAAAAAAAAAAAAGACATTTTGAAGAATGTTGGTAACCAAACAGTTTTGGACCATTGACTTCCATAGTGTTTTTGTCCATAATTTGAAAGTCGGTGGTTTTCAACATTTTTCAAAATATCTTCTTTTGTGTTCCACAGAAGAAAGTCATACATGTTTAGATTAATATGAGGGAGAGTACATTTTTAATTTTTGTGTGGACTATCCCTTTAACATTAAAGTCTCTAAATTTACCATACCACAACCCATGTCTTTAGCATTTCTCAGAAATATCTGTGAATCCCTGAGAAGAATGTGACTACCACAACACCCCCAGTTTGTTACATATTGTGTACCACAGCTTTTGTTCACTGATTGCAAATAAACTGTCCCCTCAGGAATTTTAATCTGTTGTACAAAGTCCAGGGACTTAACAGTGCTTTCAGTTTCAGAATGAAAGTCAGGAAGATCCAGTGTTGGCTAAAACAAGTTTAAAGGCAAATCAGAGCTTAAAATGCAGACTACAGTCAAATAGAAACGGGAAAATGCTGTCTTGAAGTTGAATGACATTAAAATGTAATGAATCGCCTAATAAAATGATTTAAGAAAAGATCACGTTTCTCCAGTTTTCGGTAGACAGACATGGATAAAGGGAGATTTAAATCTATCTGATGCAACAGAGTTTAGTAAAAATAAAATTATTCAGTTTCAGAATGAAAGTCAGGAAGATCCAGTGTTGGCTAAAACAAGTTTAAAGGCAAATCAGAGCTTAAAATGCAGACTACAGTCAAATAGAAACGGGAAAATGCTGTCTTGAAGTTGAATGACATTAAAATGTAATGAATCGCCTAATAAAATGATTTAGGAAAAGATCACGTTTCTCCAGTTTTCGGTAGACAGACATGGATAAAGGGAGATTTAAATCTATCTGATGCAACAGAGTTTGGTAAAAATAAAATTATTTTACAAAGTACAGAGATCAAACTGTGGAACGGAGTTCAAAAAACACACCACGCATGCATTCACACACTTTTTCCTCATGTCATGGCCAAGAAAAAGACCTCACTCAAACCTTGAACTGCTGTCTGCCTGGGTTCTTACATTAGCACCGTCATAACTGAAACACCTACAAGTGGTCATAGTCCTCAACGCTGACGTCTAGCGTGACTCTCCAGACAAACCCTGACTTGGACTGATGCTAAAGACGAAAATTTGCTGAGGCTGTTACTCTGGTCCAGTAGACCGAAACAGTCTTTGATGGCTAGGGTAGGTTAGGTTAGGTCAGGTTAGGTCATGTCTCTTAGCAGCCTGGATCCTCCCTTCGGCATTGCTTTGAGATCACAGCAATTATATGTGATGCTATCTCAGCAAACCTTGAGATCTGAGAAAACTGTCCAGTGAAGTCCAGACCAGATCAGAGACAGATTTTCCTTTTGTGTATTTCATCGGGATTTCAAACCAGGGGCAGAAAATTATATTTTTCTTTAAACAATACATAGTTATAGGGCCATCACTTTACCAATAGAACCATCACGCAGCCCATGGGCCAGCCCCATCGTGATGGTCCAAAAACCGGACGGCACTTCCGTCGTCTCAACGAGGTATCCGAGTTCGACGGACACCCCATGCCTCGGGTGGATGAACTGTTGGACCGGCTGGGAAGGGCCCGGTATATCTCTACGTTGGACCTCACCAA